GAGTTACGATCAGAATGCGAGCATACGGTGAGGGTACGGGAATAGGATCGGAAAACGAACATACGATGGGGATGTAAGAGATATCGGGATTCAGCTTTCTTCACTGTTGAACACCGCGTAGAGCCTGCTATTTAGTTTTCTTGTGATGTGTGAAAAATTTGTCTTTCAAGTATGGAGAAGTAGGGACCTCGAAAAAGAGGCGAGGATTGTATAAAATGGTGTGCGATCTACCTAATCTTTTGATTGGAGCTAATTTCTCTATGTATTGCTGTCTTCATTTAACAGAGAATTGTATTTTTTAAACATCGAGAATGTCCTTTGTGAATAGCGTTTGAACAATCATTGAACTAATTGAATCTGATTACTGTCTTACTGATTCAATATTTCAAACATTATGTTTCATACAAACCAAGCTAACTCTTGGTGTCATTATAGAATTTATCTGAACAGAACTTTTCTTCAAATAATTCATCATCTACGCAATTTTCAATGATGAGTGTCACTGTTATTGACTGTTTGATAGTAACATAAATGAACTCGAGCTTAGTTAGAATAGCTCATATGCCATGCGCTGTTTAATTACGTCTTCTAATGTTAATTATCGCAACGCATTAAAATAAATGAATACGATTTTAGTTAGAGTAATTCATCTGTCATGCGCTGCTCAATAATGTGTTTTGATGTTGGCGAACACATAATACTAAAATAAATGAACTCAAGCTTTATTATAATAATTCATCTGACATATGCTGTTGAATACTATGTTCTGCTGTGATCAGTTGCTTCAGAATAAAATAATTGAACACGACATTTGTTAGAAAGATTCATATGGCATGGGTTTTTCAATCTTGTACACTGCGATCATCGATTACTATAGAACAAAATAATTGACCATGACTTTCTTTAGGATAATTCATATAGCATGAGCCACTCAACCTTGTGTTCTATTGTCATCGATTGCTAGAGAGTAAAATAATCGAGGATGACCTTCCTCAGAATAGTTCACTTGTAGTATGATCTTCGGACACGGTACTGGTAGATAATTTTTGGCTTTTATATACGCAAAAATGAATAGATCTATTGTTATTGATGTATATATTTTTTGTAGACCTTCATCGTGGAACTTGCCGTCATATTTTTGATGTAATGAGAAATATATATGAACAGAAAGCTACCAATTGAAATGATTTGTTAGTACAATAATATTTGATGTTATGCACTAGAGACGTGCTACACTTCGAAATATTCGGTATATTTGAACAAAGCTATAATGATAATAGTTCATCGGCTTTGTGATCTAGAACTATCTGAGGGACTTTCACATAGCATTCTCGATGAGTTACACAGTTGAAGAGAAAGCGCTGGTTGAAACTAGTTACCTATGACGCATTCCTTATTTGACGAGTAAATAATGTACTAAGTTTTCTTTCGACGAACGTATTTGAATAGATATTTTCTCAAAAATGTTCATCTTATATATAAGATGTTCCATTTGAGTGATACATAACTATTGTTTGCAAGAGATTGATATAATTGAATAGAGTTATTATTAGGTTGATTCATTTTTGCGAAGATTTGTTTTTTCATAATAATGACAGAAGTTTTGCCTCACGGCTAATGATATATATGAGAGGATAGATTGTTGCTGGTGTTCTTTTACCATGTAATTCATAATTAGATCATGAGCTTTAGATTTAATTCGAAGTGTTGACTATGAATTGAACCGAATACTTGTTAGAAGCATTCAGCTCCTACGTGATTTTCAGCCATATAATACTTGAGATGGCTTATTTTAAAGCAAATATTAAAATTTGAACACAGATGTTGCTGTGGCTGTTCATGCAATATGCGATCAATGATATAATGTTGTGTTAAAGATTGATTATTATTAATTTTACAATGAACGTGAATACATTCTGAGAACTCGACAGGTTAAAAACTGTACTAAACATCACTCAAATTATTTCGAACATTACATACTCTCGTTTTATTTCTTCATATATTCTTACCGAACTCGTTATCTTCATAAACTTTGATGCTATATGAATGTAAACTAATCTTGAAGAGCGTTTGCGTCTTTTGTGATTTTGATAACGCTTTTCAGCATTTGAAAATCTTATCAAACACAAACCGAATTTATACTCGATCACTAATATATGGTGAAGGCTTCATTAGTAGCTAGTCTTTTCTCTTTCTATTTTGCTGCAACTAATACTATGGTTTTTATCTTTTAAGAATACTTTTTATGCATTTAATCATCATTTATACTTGCTTAAATATTTTTAATAAATTATTTATATCAAGATACGATAAACATATGTCAATTTATTGAAGTAATTGTTTTCCATGCTAATAAAGAAGTAAAATGTTGCGAAATTTTCACGCCATACATCTTATCAATGGCGTCAAGAACGGTATCACTGCTTCTGATACCTAACAAAAGGAGATTTTATGCTTTTTTATTAATTTTTTCAATGTTGCAACTGAAAAAATAAATTTATTTCAAGCTTCCTGTTAGAAAATACAGTACTTGATTTAGGTAGAACATCTTAGGCCAGAATTCGAGAATTTCTTGAATGGATTCGTTGTCAAGCTCTTTCCAACCTAGCTCAACTGATTTTTAGAGTGGAAGCCTAATGCGAGTTCAAATATAAATGAAAATTTCGACAACAAATAAGGGCCATCGTAGATAAAAACAAAAAATATTATTTCCATTATAATTTTAATTGAGATAGGTTCTGTTCTAAAACTACGGGACAAAGATAGAGAAAAATTTATTTTAATTATGAAATATATTCAGATACCATGTTGCTAAAAATGCCACATATCGATACTCACCGAATGATTCTTGGAACTACCATGCGTTCAAACTGATAAAAAAGTAAATATACGTCCTATGTTGTGATGAACGCTACAAATTCCAGTCTATGTAAAACTCAGTACCTGGTATTACTTTCCAAAACAGTGATTCAATTTCTAAATATCCAACAAGCATACGAAATGTGTTTTTATACAGAGAAGAAATAATCCGAGCTGTTATATAATGTGATTCGATCTTTNTCGCATAGAAAAAAATGATTTTTTCCCAGCGTCGAAAATTGGTCGCACACAATTTTGCTTCTTTTGAAAACAAAAAGTGCAAAATTAAAATAAGCTTTACTTTGCACATTGTAGTTCTTTTCACGCTGCATCTCCTGGTATATTTTGTTTTTCTAAAACAACTTATTAAGTGATGCAAAAATGAAATGGAAAAAGGCCGTTTTTTTTGTCCGAGGGAGAGTCGAACAAATTGAAAACAGAATATTTTTCATCGTATCATCAATGTCAAAATATGATGACTGTCTCATCTCTGTCCAGCGCAAATCGAAGCCCATGTCTATTCTCTTTCGATTCAATAGGACTGTTAAGATTCGTTCGTTACCATTTGTTTTTTTTATGCATCTATCAGAGTCACTGTTTTTTGCACTGACGGTTCGTTTTGCTTTCAAGTATAGGAATGTACAGACGATGAATAATACACTGCTAGCATGTATTTATTGTGTCGAAAAAGTCGATTCGCTTTGCATTTCATCCAAGTTTGCAACTGTGTCAAGTAGTGTATTGTAAATCGAATGAGTGCAAAGACAGAATAAACCATTCAGTTATTTAAATGCAACTGGTAATCTGTCGGCTTCGACAACAGCATCAAAAAGTACCAATAAACGAATCTCGAGTGCGGAAATGGATGATGCGGACATATTCTTCAAGCGTTGTGACATATGCTGCAATCTGGTACGATGTTTTATTCGATGATTTCGATGGAAATATCGCATTACTTCCTTTTTGCGATTGTTCATTCATTTCATACCTTACTCTTTTTATTTAATTTTTGTACTAGTATATTATTTTTCGAATAGAGACCCCATATACTTCGCATATCCTTATTGATCTTTTATTAAATAATGTGATAATAGAGACGACAGAAATTGTTCTAGATGATTTAACCTATGTTCATTATACGAAAGGCTTCAGATATACGCTAGTTTTCTGATTCAGGGTTGACGACATATAAGAATGGTCAATTTAATCTTGATAAAATCATGAGAATTGATTATATGATGTGATGAATTGCTCGTCACATGGTTAATATCCTCGTGGGTCAGGCACCCAGCTGCGTATCATCATCATTCATCTTCCTCTTTTCATCACTCTTTCTCTCTTACATCGCACCGCTTATCTGTTCTCTTTTTCTTTCTCCTCCCTCTACATGTCTATATATACTCATGCTTGTATGTTGTTGCATGAGACAATAGATTCACGAGCCCTATGCCCGTCACGTATGAGTCTTGATTGCAGACTTACTCGTTGTTTAAAAGGTTTTCCGTGTGAATCAAGCGATGAACAGACAGAATATTGTGTCTAATACGATTTCAGTTGGTTACATTCGCCAATAAACAACTTTCATCTTTCAAATATCATGTTATGATTCCTATCTAGAAATTCATTTTCGAATCAGATGAATCAAAGAAATCAGCCATGTCTAGTCTTGCTTCGCTTGATTTCACGGGAAAATTCAGTTTCAAAGCAATCTCTAGCATTCTGGTCGACTTTAGGTGAAAAACCTCTTGTTGAGATGAAGTACATTGTAAAAGCGACTAACTACTTGTCGACCGGACAAAATGAAGTTTTTTCAGAATCTGGAGTGTTCCCGGAATAAAATCGAATTTGAGCAATCAAATAACGGATATTTAAAAGGACCGAAGATGCAACAGCCGAGTATTAAGCATGGCATCTGCCATGAAACTTGATTTGAAGCACGTAACGCGATATAACACAAACAAGTACTTTCGATTGTGACATCAAAGATTCAAAACGAAAAGGGCTAAAAATTTTTCAAATTTTTTTCTTGAATAAATTATTGATTTTATTCAAATAAAAACTGATATATCAATAAAAAGAATTCTAGTTTAATTGAAAGTCGAATAAAACAGCTTTTCATGACGTTCTATTGAATGTTGACTTTAAATATAGATGCGTACAAAAGCCTCGATTTCTCTTCGACAAACTGGACATGTTCGAAGTGAATGCCCACAGGGAACACAAGTTGCCAAATGTCCACATGGAATACATGCAAGACGTTTATCTTCTGTTAAACAAAGTATACACAAATTCGACGACTCTAAAACCGTTGTCAAACTAGCTTTTATTTCTGTCTTTGATTGATGATCGATCGTTGCAATTGTTGATTTTGATTCGGTTATGTTATTAGTATTCGATGAATTTGATGAAAATGGTTCGTTCGATGTTGGCGTGGATGATGATGAACCTATTTATTTACAAACGAGTACTAATATGATCATACAAATAACTGACAACATACTGGATTGTTCTGTCTCACGAATCATTTTCATCTTGATACTCGGTACAATAATATTTTCTTGATGACCATTGATATGATCGATTTGTTTTTGAAGAATAATACAAGCAATTAATAAATCACAATCAGTAGCAAAATCATTTTCTAAACAAAAAAAAATAGAAGAATTTAAATTTTATTGAATTTAAGTTACGAACGTTTTAATCTTAGTTGATCCTCCCAGCAACGTTTGATAACTGATAATTTGAAATTTCGATTGAGTAAACTTTGTGAAATGGGCAACTCGAGTCGAGCAGCAACAAATCGTGATAATGTGTTCTCATCAGGAATCATTAGTTGAGGATTGTTTGTTCGATGATTGTTCGAAAAATCTTCATTTCTCTCTATTTGATTTGTTCCAGAACGTTCTATAAAATAAATCAATAAATTTTTTTTAACTTGTATCATTTCTTCAATAGAAAAACCGACAAACCTTGACGAATTCGTTTTGATTCTTGAACTNGAAAATATTTTGTGCTCGAAAATTTTCACGGACCATACTGTCTGGATTCTACAGAAAAATTCATTGTTCGGATAGTATAGTCCCTGTGACTTCGACTATCGTTCCCGATACCATCGTCATTTTTCCTCTGCAGATAGAGTTTTTTAAAAGCTACAAAATGATCATAAAATATAAAGGAAAATTTGCTGTGCTTGAATATTTCCAAGAACCACACTGTTCGGATCCTACGGGAAACCCAATAGATTTGATAGCATGGTTCTTGTATTCGTGATTATCGTTGCTGATACGTTCGCAGTTTTTCTGTGGCATAGATCTTTTCAAGAGTTACAAAATGATCACCAAATATAAAGTAAATTTAGTGCGCTCGTAAAATGTCACTGACCACACAATCGAGTTGTTGTGAGAAAACGAATTGTGGAAATAGAATGCCGAACGAATTTTGAATCTTCGATCATGGTGCGGTTGTGAATATTAGAGTAGGTGATAGAAGGAATTATAGATAGGAAACCGTTATGTATGTGTAAGAAAGCAAGGTGTGAGCAATCTTTCGAGGATGTTGGATATGGAATAGTGCAAGAGTGATTTTACCGGTTTAGAGGAAGGATAGTAAATACAGAGAGTTTGCAGGGGCGGATCCAGAAAACCAGTGAGGGGATGGCGATTTGCCCAAGGGGGTGGCGGTCATGGTCAAATAATGGTTTTGGAACCCTTTTTGATGTCTTACCACTACTTTTTTTCTTATTTCTGTGGAGGAAAAATAGAAAAAAAAAATCGCAAGGGGGTGGCGGCCGCCGGTTCGCCGAACAGGTGGATCCGCCACTGACAGTTTAAGGTAGAGATTGCTATGAAGCGAGGGAGAACGATGGAAAATATGTTGGATAGAGAGAGATTTGGAGATAAGATACGAGATCGCGAGAGAGAATGAGGGAGGATATGTATAATGGAGAGTGATTTCGAGAGAGGATAAGAGATGGCGAGATAGGTTGAGAGAAACATTTTCCTTGGAGAGTGATTTGGAGGGCAGATGTTACTCAGAGAGAGATATAAGACGAAGAGATTTTTAAAGAGAGGAATTTGTTAGATTTGTTTCTTACACACTGAGGGGAGAAAATAAAAGCAATGGATTGCGTGAATCGCTATCACATTTCGCATAAACTCAACTCCAGCAAGTCCTATGTCTGTGATTGTTGTAGTGGTCATGTGTCTGCAATCAGCCGACATACTCCACTTGGAAAATGCATTCGACTCTTCATCGCCTCGCAATTGTTTCTAACGTCTCCCTTACTGGATGTGTACAGTTCTAAAACGAACCACTCATACCGACATGATATTTTCGATCAGTACTAGAGACCGAAGTATAAATCACACCTGCTAAACATATCATTGAGCACACTATACTGACCGTGGATTACTCGAAAAATTTCTGATACTGCGCTCCTTCACATTTTCAAGCAACCCAATTCTAGCCTAATGTTTTAGTATTATTTTGCAGCTGTTCAAACATTCTCTGCACAGAAAAAATGACGACGATATCTGGAACAATAGTCGAAATCATATGGGCCATATTATGCCAGCAATGGCCCTTTCCCTAGAATCCGAACACTGTGGTACTTAGAAATTTTCGAGAACAGAATATTTTCGTTTATATTTTGTGATCCTTTTGTAGCTATGGAAAAGCTGTATCTTCAGAGAAAAATTGACCATGGCATCATAAGCAATACTCAAGATCGTATGGAACATGCTACCCCAATAATGAGTTTGTCTGTAGAATCCGGAGTGTGGTCCTTGGAAATTTTCGAGCACAGCATATTTCCTTTTACATTTTATGATCATTTTGTAGCTTTGAAAAAACTCTATCTGCAGAGGAAAAATGACGATGGTATCTGGAACGATAGTCGAAGTCACAGGGACTATACTATCCGAACAATGAATTTTTCTGTAGAATCCAGACAGTATGGTCCGTGAAAATTTTCGAGCACAAAATATTTTCCTTAACATTTTGTGATCATTTTTTAGCTCTTGAAAGGTTCTATCTTGCCTGCAAGTATCAGTTTGATTTGGTAAATTGACGCGCTTAACCAGTGAGGGGGATTTCGACATTGATGATGCTTCTGTCGTAGTCTGAAATGTTGGGGAGAGGTCTCGAAAGATGGACTGAAAGGGGTCGAGACGCATTATTCCTACTTAGAGGAAGATGAAATTCAATTTTATAAAGTGCTCTTAGATGATTTCGATTTAGGGCCGTTTTACGTGCAAACCGTCCCCCGTCCTTTACGCCATGGGCAATATGTTAAAAATAATTTCATTTTGGCCATCTTCTTTTGATTTTTGAAAGTATAAATCATCGCACAAAATATCATAAAATTAGTTTTTGAATAAAGATTGAAAACCATTATATAAAAATTACATTTACGATCAAAGATTTATTTTTGGTTTTAAGGTTTTCGAAAGCCCTAAAATTTCGTTCATTTTCTCTTCGTAAAATCTAAGAAGATAAAAAAACACTAGATCCTGCTCTACATTTTGATATACATTTTTATAGAAGAAAATAAAAATCACCTCTATTGAATAAAGTTTCATAGAAGATTTAGGACATCTAAGTGATTTATTGTTTACTACTGCTTACTGAGTCTCTCCTATACCTAACGATATATAACTGAAAATAATATACTAACTAGTTGATCGTAACAGCAACCAATTCTTTATATTTCATATAATTTCGTAAGATTTGAGTGGAAACCGATATTTGAATGTTGGCTAATGACTAAATTAACCCTCTTCGTATTATTGTCTAATCTTTCAGATAATACACAAAAATATCGAGTCATTTTGTGTACATCATTTCTGAACTTTTCACTTCAACGATTTTATAGTATCTTTGATCAAATCTATTAAAGGTTTCTTAGCAAAACGCAAAATAGGCGACTAGTTTTAATGAACACATAAACTATTAATCGCTAACTAACTGTTAATTATGCTTACAAATGCGTTAAAAACTCTCGAAATGCCACATTTTGATACATGAATAGATTGGAATAGGTTTACAGAGGAACAAATCTAAGTTAATTTTCTTTTATTCTAAAGGTCTCTCTTTTATCTTAATATCACTGAAAGTAATAAAATTTGCTCTTAACACTGGACAGAAAGATAACAAACAAGTTTCTGTTCCAGTAACTATTGAAACTAATAGTACTGCTCATTCACATAAAAATGAACTTACTTTGAAGTATTTGCTATAACTTCTTTTTGTCGAATAATAGTCAATTCAAAGAAAGGATCATCTTGGTTATAATACTGAATGACACGATTGGAAATTATGTTTATCAATTACGCTTTGTCGTATATGCTCGAGCAAAGGAATGAAAGAAATACCTGGCATAATGTTAGGTGACAAATTCCAGATTTTTCTGACTTGAATGAACTTAGTTTCTTTGAATCAAAATAATAGCAAGTAAAGAAGTGGCAGATAAAGCTGATTCCTATGGAATGAGAAGATAAAAACCATTAGTTGACTGTCGTCCAAAATAACTACTGAAAAGTCTTGGTTACTGTTTCTATGTAGTGTTTCAACATCAAATCTCATTAATTTTGATAATTATTAAACGAATATATTTGAAAAGAATTTCACTATTACATTAATAAGTTCGATAAGAAATCAAGGTTAAATTCAACTTTAAAATAACTTATCCTCAAATTTAAGCATTTCTTTAAGTATGAAATGAATGTTTTTCAACAATTGATTATATTTTGTAATACGATATTTCATATAACTTTCTTATGTTTCATAATAAAATATAAGCAACATCCTATTGAAAGGTTTTTTTTTCTTATTTAGATTGAAAACGTCGCGGTAGATCTCTAGGTGGATTTGTTGCATAAAAAAATCCAATATTAACAAAATTCTATTGACATCTTATTTACCAACATAGAGCAGAAGAACGTTCTAGATGGTTTAGCTGTTTATATGAAAGCGTATTAACGAGGGTGTGGGTGGGTGTGGGTGTGGGATGTGGGTGTGAGTGGGTGTGAGGAGCGGAGAGTTTAATACCAATACTCACACCCACACCCTCAATGTAATAACGCTTTACCAGAAAACAAATTACTTTTTAAATATGAACTAAATCAATAAAAAAATCTCTCTATGTATATTGATTTAATTAGTTGTTCTTTATCTAGATGGTGTTAGGAATGGTCAATAATCAATTGTTACTCAACATGAATTATGACAAATAATCGAAACATTTCAAAAAAATAAAGACTGGCTATGAAGGAAAACCAGCTCTAGTTATTGTAAAAAAAAACGTGATAATGCTCAATTTTTTCAAGAAGAAGGTTTTAATATAGAAAATCGTCAATCGAGAACTATTATTGATCATAATGTAGCAAGTGCAGATTATAAAAAACTAAAATAAAAACGAATATTTATATTGATATTTGTGTTTTGTTATGGATGAATGGTATGATTTTGATTTAATTTGAGAATGTGATCGACAAGAAATAGTTGCAGAAAAGCAAAATAAGTATGCTTTAATTGTTTTTTTTTCTCTTTTTATTAATGAGATAATTTTCAAGTGTTTTTTTGGAATCGAAGAAATAAAAAGGTTGATCATATCGAACGATTAATATATAAATTGTAAATATTGATTGATTTATTTATTTATTTATTTATTTTCCTAATGATTTAAGTATTTTATTAAACGATGCCATACTGTCTATTAGAATTGACCAGGAAGAATTCGAGTAGCAGGTTAAACATTTTTTTTATTTAAGATATTAAAATAATTGTAAATATAATCATTTCTTTTAACTGTTGTCAATATTATTTGTAACAATCTCATTTTCAAAAACAAAAAACAACACGAGCTTCTTTTTTTTTTAATCGTTCAATGTTATTATCGTTGAGTATTCGAATGAATCTATTCGATAGAGTTGTTTCGTTTTTGTCCTTTATTAACTAAATTGATAAAATAAGTGTTTTCATCGTCAATTAATATTAATCCAATGCAGAGTTTTATTTCTTTTTTTTTGTTCTTCTAATTCTTCTAAAAATTTCCTTTAATAAAATGATAATTAGATGAGAATAAGAGAAAAATTATTTTTAGATGAAATCAATCTATTAAACGATAATTATTTGGACAATTAATCCACAGAAGTTGAAGAAATAGGTTGTCAAACAAGTTATATTCGACGAAAAGAGGAACCATCAATTGATCTTGAGGGTGTGGGTAGGTGGGTGTTGATGAAGAGAAGACTGACACCCACACCCACACGCACACGCACACCCCACGCCCCACACCCCACGCCCCCCCACACAGACACCCACCCACTCACACCCACACCCCACACTCCACACCCCACACTCCACACCGACACCAACCCACACCCAGAACGTTGAAAAAGATGACCTTCGTGGGAATCGAACCCATGCCTCCTGCTGTCCTGGCAGTTATCCTAATCCAGTTAGACTAGAAAGCGCTTCTTATTCATCGTTTAGCGTTAGTGTGATCCATCACTGGCCCTAACAGAAGCTCTTTGGCATAACTGACATTTCTTCTTATTTCAATTGATCTCTACATCCATGGGAGAGGAACGATTTATGTTCGACGACCACGTTATCTCTATAGTCAAATCAAAGAGCACATTATTGTAATTGTATGGCATGAACATATTAGACGGTGTGTGTGTTGGTAGATGTGAAGTTCTGTGACAAATTGAGTTTCATCCACGCTCATACCCACACTCTTATTAAGCAATTAGTTTGCAAATAAGTCACTTAATTATAGTCGGTGCTGTGATAAGTTTCCTCTTAATTTAATAATAGTATTATTAATTCGACAGAAAATATACTAGAATGAAATCTTTACGGAGTGGGCACGGGTGCATGTGGTTGCGAGGAGAAGATCGAAACACACATGCACACCCTCATCCTAATCAACATTTATCTGACTATATCGATTGTTGAAACTAAAAAAAACAACAATGGAAAAAATTATGAAAGAGATAAATTGAAGGTATGTTTGGGATGATAGGTGTCATCTCATAGCAAAAACCGAAGCAATTTCGTATGCTGTCAATAACAGCTATCTGATAAGATTTATCTTTTACTCTTCTAACATTCAATAAAAATGATAACCTGTTCGCTATCCGTGTATTAGATGAATTCAAACGGTGGCAGTTGTGCATCTCCTTCTCTTGGATATAACTGCGTTTGGATGGCTCACACTAGTCTCGAATTGACTTACTTCGACGTGTGAAAGGTCCCGGCTCCAACAGAAAAATCATGCTTAACATTCACAGAAAATCATCGTTTTCCAAAAACAGTCAAGTTTCAATTTGGGTGTGGGTGTAAGTGTGGGTGAATGTGGGTGTGGGTGAGGATGTTGGCCTTGCTTTCATTCACAATCACAGTCATACTCACACCCATACCCACCCACAACCACAGCCTCAGCCACACCCACCCTTGATGCGAGATAAAAACGAATACTACAATTCATAGTATGCATTATTATTTTCCGGTTGTTTTTAAAAATCTACAAAAGGATATCAAAGGCTCTCGGTTTTTTCTTCAGATAAATTATGGATTCATTTTTTTAAATTTCTTTTATCTATCCTGGATTAACAAAGAGATATTGTGTAACAAACAAAGAAATTACAAGCAAAATAAGGTAAATTTTCAAATGAAGTAGTGAATAAGCTCTTATTCTTTAATAAGCACATACAGCATAATGATTATACTATGCAGAAAAAGAAATTTTAAGATATTTTACTTGAATGATAAATACAGGTAAACGAAAAATGTGCTCTGGAACACGCAGTAAAAAAGGAGCAAGTTGAGCGACAAAAAATAGTACACAAAAAGACAACAAGTATTAATGGTTTTATTCGTTCATTCCGAAAAAGCAAAGTATTTCTTGTGTTATTTGAATCGATCTCTGTCATGTGGTAAATCATAATTAATTTCCGGTCCAAGAGCAATAATTCCTGTTGGATTAATTGTTAAAAGTGATGCATAATAATGCTTTTTAATTTCATACAAATCAACTGTTTCTTTTATACCTTCCATTTGATATATGTCACGCACAAATCCATATAAATTCGGATAATCTTTTGAAATCATTTTTTTATTACATTTAAAAAGTGTAAAATATACTGGATCAAATCTTAACAATGTTACCCATGCACGTACATCAGCTTCAGTTATTTGATTATTATCAATAAGATAACGTTGCTCTGAGAGAACATTTTCAAGTTTATCTAACATGGAAAAAACATCTTCAAATGCAGCATTATATGCTTCTTGAGATTTAGCAAAAGCAGCTCGATATACTCCATTATTTAATTTTGGATAAACTTGTTCATTAAGTTCATCAATATGTGAACGAAGATGTTCAGGATAAAGATCTAAATCTGGATTACGAGCAAATTTATTGAATTCAGAATTGAGCATGCGAATAATTTCTGGTGATTCATTATTAACTATCTTTTGAGTCTAAAATATAAATCATTATCGTTAAGATTTCTTTGTTTTTTTCATGTAACTTTGTATTACGGATCAGAATATACGTAATTAATATAATATCCAGCAGGCTTCGTAGAAGACCCTTAAAATATAGGACACGATATCTACATAATATGTGAATAACGGTGTAATTCACATATTACGTAGACTCCATGTCCTATATTTTAAGGGTCTGCTACATAGCCTGAATATCCAGCGATGACAAGCATAATTAACGAGACAGACGCATGGCTTAAGTGCTTTTTGAAAAAGTTTTTTTGGAATAATTCTAGTTGGATTAGACTATTTAAAATATATTTTCGGTCTGCTAAGAAAAGACTTTTAGATTCAATTATGTTGATAAAGAATCTGTTTTATAAGTATACTGCTTGTTTTTTAGTCAAAGAAAAACTTTCAAGTATTCAGCTTCGATGACATTGATATTTTCCAAATCACAATTGATGCTATATTGTATGTTTGACTAGCGAATATGTCAGTATGATCGCGAAGACATGTTCTTTTTTACAAAGAATTGTTCAAATCTTTGCACTTATATGATTTCAAGATGACTTTCGATAGTTTCGCGAAGTGGAAAGAGATAATAGTAGTTTATCCAAGCCTCCTTTACATCGAGATTCATGAATATTTATCTATTTAATGGCACTTCAAAAAGCTAGTAACTCATATTATTATGAAACTCATTACGAACCATTATATCCTATGCAATGAGTCAGCATTTTGCACACTTATATACGTTAAACATGCTAATTTTTTTAGTATTTGGCGTTTGATGCGCACATTGTTGAATGTACGAAGTTTAGAGTATATTTCTATCACAATGTCACAGAAAAATTTTGAATACTTAAATATTTTAGAGTTACTAGCGTAACCAGGAGATCATGAGTGAAAGGGTAGTCCCCCATAGACTTGGAGAAAATTAGTTCAATCTAGCTTTGATGATAGTAATTATTACGTTTTTCTTTCTTCTGGTGACAGAGTAACATCCGTTTTAGATTACCTTGGTTACACCATTATTAAGATACCTTGTGGGTTTTTAGTATTTGACTACAGAATGCTGCTAAGTATTTAATTGACTACCTTATTGGTACATTTTTCATAGAACGCTATAGAAAATGGACACGTACAATGTTAGTATCCAGTTATCAAGATAATTCTCAGTAGGATATCGATCGAACCAAGGTCCTAGACATACTTGTAAAAAAAAGTATCTGACTGACAGCTAAAGTAAAAAATGAGTACCTGAAACTCATGCGGTAATGCCTTCAATTTTCAAATTGCCTTCTGATGAAGTATATGCTCACATGGTAGATCTTAGTGATCTATTAAACGGTGTACATAAGAGTTTGCTTTTCTAGGCGTCCGGGGCGAAGACATACGATTATTCCTATTTCTAGCTTTGCTATACTACTTCGAATTCATCTACTATTTTCAACACACATTCACTCTATGGTTAATAGGAGCATGTAAATGTCAGCTCATCGGTCTATATTTGTATTAAGAGAAATTAGAATAATAAATTCGCGCAACTTCCCTTGTGAAACGTATTATATAAATATATTTAACATATTGATACGTATGCTAACTATGAAATGTATGTCTGCCGAAAATATTAGATGAACT